GGATGTGCACCTGGCCTTGTCCGCTGTCACGAGCCCTGAGAAAAAGTGACAAGTGGTCTAGATTTTAAAGGAGTAAGTATTGTCCACACGAAATCTGAAGAAGACAACGGGGTACGTTACAGGCTCAAGGGAGCCTGGCACCGAGAGAGCTGTTTATAGCTCAGTACATAGAACAAAGGCTGAAGCAGGACCCAGATAAAGAAGGGCCTTATAAAGTCATGCTAAGAGCCTTGGATTTTATCCTGAATTTAATGGAAAGCCATTAAAGTGAAGGAGGGGAGGAGGTGTGTGTTTGTGTTGAGATTTGCATTTTTAATATATCATTTAGACTCTTCTGTGAGGGAGGGCAAGTTTGCAGGCAGGGATGACTCATGGCTTTTGACATCTCTTTATTGCCTTGTACCATTGTAAAAATTTTCTAGACTTAAGCTCCTTATGAACAGAGGCCTTTATGTTGTTCCTGTTATATCCCTTACAGGACTTCAATGCTATGGCCATAGGGCTAAATATTTATTGAATAAATATTGTAAAACCTAAAGCAATCCAGTGTACATAGGACAGATAAGTGAAATAAAATCTTCATGTGTCTGTTTATGCAGAAGGTAAAGAGGAGAATTATTAGTACCTTGTTGCTGGAGAAACAAAGATGAAGAGAACTGGAACAACATGATCTATATGCTAGGTTAGCTAAACCTCTGTTCGGTGTTTTCCATGATTTTGACTGTATAAATGCAACTCACTGGCCACATAACATTGTTAGGATTATTTTTTCTTTCTTGCACAACTTTTTGTTTTCCCTCGAGTTGATGATGATTTTGTTTGCTTATTTGCTTAGTTTCCTATGTACTTCTTACTAATTTATCCCCAACCTCTCTGCCATTTGTACAGGTCTCTCCTCAGTATGTTCAAACTCAGTGGGTGTTGTAACGATTTTATCTTCTTGGAAATCCTCTCCCAGAGCCTTCTCTCTTTCCCCAGTCTGATCCCAGCTGCTCTTGGGCTGGCTGCTTGGCTCTCAGTTTAAGATTTCCTTCACCATTATCCTGAAGATATCTTTACCTCCATCTTCTGTTGGAACCTTTATTTCCTGGGTCTTTATCTTGTTTGTTCCTTCATCTTGCCAGGCATATCCTGAGGAAGAGTGCACAGGAGGTCAATTTTCTGAGACCCTGCATGTCTAAAATGCCTTTGTTCTACCCTCACCCTCCAATGGATAGAACTCCGGATTTAACACAATTTTCTCTAGCTTCCAGAAATGCCGTTGAAAAGTCCAGTACTATTCTGAGTCTAGATCTTTGGTATGTATCCCACTTATTCCTCTGTGGAAACTTTAAGAATCCTCTTGTTCCTTAAATTCATGAGGCTGTGTCTTAATAAAGGACAGTTTTCACTCATGTGCTGCGTACTTAGTGGGTCCTTACCATCTAGAACAGAGGTTCCAACTGTGGCCAAGCCCCTGTTTAATGGGCCAAATCTGGCCTGCCACAGTTGTTATAAGTAAAGTTTTATTGGCACATAGCCACACTCGTGCATTTACATATTGTCTATGGCATTACACAGCTAAGTTGAATGAGGTGACACACTGTGGTCTACAGAGCTTGAAACGTCTGTGGGTTTTTACAAAACGTGTTTGCTGACCCCCAGTCTAAAAAAATCAAGAACTTCAATTTTGGCAAAAAAAAATTTTCTGTTTATTTTTAAAATTTTCTCCCTCATGTTTTGTGTTCCCACTTTCCGGAGCTCTCACTACTTAGATGTTTGACCTCCTGGACTGGACTCAGATTTTTTTCTGTCCTCTTCCATCTCTTCATTTTTGTTTGCTCTTTTGCCTGAGAAATTCTCTTTACCTCCCAACCTATCCATGAGTTTTTCATTTCTGCTGTCATAACTCCTTATTTTGGCATACATTTTTTATTTTTTAAATTAACTTTTTTATTGTAATATAAAACAAAAAAAACAACAAAATATATAGTTAATAAATTGTTATAAAGCAGCCATCTTTATAACTGCTACCAGGTCTAAAATAGAGTATTTCCAGTGACTCAAAAGCCCCTCTCTGTGTCCCAGTCTAATTACCACCCACTCTGACACATATATCATGGATTTCGACTCATTGCAATACTACCTTTTTTGTAGCTCAGATTATCCCAGCTTCAGACAGTCAGCCTCTTCGTGCTGTCCACTGTGTCCTTTTGTGACCTTTGTACCCTTTGTTTCCTTGCTATGTACTTTCACAGGATGTTTAAGACTCCTCTTGTACATTCCCTACCCTAAATCTGGGATCACCCGCTTCTCTAAAAAACTCTGTATTCTTTTAGTGGGAAATGGAACTTTAAGCTCCCATTCTGGTTGCTAACAATGCTCATTACTCCTGGACTGGTCGTCGTTTCTAAGTCATCATTTGGAGGAAAGAGCATATGTGTTTTCCTTCCCTTTTTTTTTCATGCTTCTATTACATTTTTATTATCAACATACAGCCATTACATACTATCCTTTCTCTCTTTTAATCTTCATTTGGTCTTACTTCTATATAACTATATGTTTAATGCTCACTACCAGCTGATGTATCAATGTGTCTGTAGTCATTTAGGTTATCTGAAGCTCATTCTTCAGAAGATGTCTCAGGATGGGATCATGAGAACAATATTCCCTGAGTTCTTGCAAGTTAATAATTGTTTATCTGTGCTTGAAAGTTAGTTTTGTTAATTGTATAATCTTTGGCTTGCATTTTCTTTCTTTGAATGTCTTAAATATTTTACTGTCTTTGAGTAAAACAGCATTGCTGTTGAAACTCTGGTATCATATTTTTTCCCTTGTAAGTCATTCACTCTTTTTGCCTAGCTGCCCAAAAGTTTATTTATAGTGTAAATGTTTTCCCAGAATATATTTGGTGTTACTTCTTCTGGGTCAGTGTTCTCAGGTATGCAGTGTGTCCCTTCAGTATGTAATTTCAAGCCTCTTTTTATTTTAGCAATTAGAGTTTTTAGTATTTGTTCTGTTCCCTTGCTTGGATTTCTTGTTAGGGACTGCTGTTCTCTGTATGTTGCTTCGTCCATGCCTGTCTTCATTATCAGCCACTTTCAAATTCTTTTTATCTCTTCATTTCTTTTTAGCATTTAATCTTTACTTCCTGTGTTGTTCTTATGGCATTGGCTGTTGTGTGTTTATCCACTCTTACATTTCTATTAGCCTTCATTTCTGAAAAGATTTTTGAAATTTCTAATTCTTTATTAAGTTCTATCACCTTGTTTTGAAGCTCTTCTGATTTTTATGTGACTCTTTTGTGTCTTGTATGATTTTTTTTTTATGTTTTTAACTTATTTTGAAATTTTGATAGGTTTTGTTAGCATGCTTTCATTGTCTGTGTGCTGTCATATTTTTATGCCCAAGAGCTTTTTTATTCTCTTAATGCTCCTCTTTTTTTTAATAGAAGTCACTTATCATTTCTTAGTCTATCTTATTTATCTCTCTAAGGATAGTAATGGTAGTATTTTTTAAAGTTCTATTCTAACAGACTAATTTATTTCTTCTCCTCCCTCCATTTGTTTTGGCCTTTATCATTTTAGAGACTTCCCTCAAGTATACGGTGATCCTTGGTTATTGGCCCAGGTTTAGGAGTTGGACAGTAAAAAACTGATTAGAAAGTCTGTATGCCATGAGTTTAAGTCTTGTTGAATTCTAGACTTTACCATAAAGTAATCTGGTTGAGCCAGTTTATCATGAAACCTCCAGTGTCAGTATCTTTTAGTTGATTTTTTTCTTTGGTGCTGATCAAATTTTTCAGAGAAGTTTCTTTCGGTCACCTACCCTGGAGGATATAAGCCTGACTGATAGTGTTCTGGGAGCCATATGAAGAGAAGAAAATTGTTACTCTGGTATATAAACTTCTGCTTATTAACGAAGCTGCTGTTAGTTGTTGATGGTTTCCCCTAGTCTAGACTTTCATTTTTAATTTCTCCAGAGAATCACCTCTAGCAACAGTTTGCTGAGTTCTCTGGAATAGGTGAAGAGAACTGGAAGGTTCTATTTCTTATCAGTATTTTTTTTTTCTAGAAAATCCCCTTGTTTTTAGGCTCACCTTCAACCTGACTTCCAGACATGCCTATTGTTTCAAATTGCTGAGCTTTTTATGGGTTCTGCAGCATAAATTAATTTGAATTAAATTTTCCTGTGTCTGCTAAGTCAGTTATTTGTGTTTTTACTTTCCACTTTCTAAAATGCTGTTGCTGTTGCTTCTTTCATTCTCTTTGTCTTGAAGGGGTGTGTGCGTGTGAAGCCCTTTACTATGTTCAGTGGTATTTCAGGAGAGAGAGCAGAGCTAATGCACACTTTTCAGTTGACCAAAAGTTCCTTGACCTATTTAAAAAGAGAAGCTCAGGGAAGTCACTCTCCCAGGTCTATTCCTGATTCTGTTAGAGCAAATGACACAGTGTTTTTCTAATAACAGAGTTTTGTTTGCTTGTTTTAAGGGATACTCCTGATGCTGATCAGAAAAGTCACAAATTATGTTTTATTTTCCTCCTTTATGCCAAGCCTCAACTGTGTTTAACTCAGTCCTTTTCTATAGCTTTGCAGGCCTATGAATGAAGTGTATTTCATTTATCATTCATGAACAGGAAAGAGAATTTGAAATGTCGTATAGAAATGCTCTGTGTTAAGATGTATATGATAAGCCCTAGAACAACCACTAAGGAAATAACTCAGAAAAATATAGTGAAACACCATGAAGGAAAAAGAATAGAGAAAAGTTGTGTTTTTTTTTTAAGATCAACAAAACTAGCAAACCTTTTAGCTAGATTGACGAAGAAAAAAGAATACTCAAACTACTAAAATCAGAAATGAAAGAGGGGCAGTACTACCAACCTTACGGAAATAAAAATGATAAAGGAATCCTATAAACAATTCTATGCCAGTAAGTTGGACAACTTAGATGAAATGGACAAATTACTTGAAAGGAATCCTCAATAACATAAAAAGTTGGCATTGTGATGCATTTACAGGCTGTTGCCTTCTCCACTCAAGGACGCAGTGGAAGTATCAACCTGGAGAAGATGCTATACGATGCAAGAGGTGAACTCTGCCCTTAGCAAAATCCAGCTGGTGGGGTATTCTCAGAAAATTGTGAGTGTTAATATGATTTTAAGTGATGCATGAATGCTTTCGATTCATATTGTTACCCTTTGGGAGGATCTTATAGTTAGTTCCCTTTCTTTAGCCATTCAGTCACTGAGAATCTTGTACTAGTACGAGGTGAAAAGACAGTCATTATCCTCCATCCTCCAGGTTCTTGTTGGTGTTCTTTCCTAACACTCACATTCCCCAGCATTAGTTAGCCTTCTCTTGACCAGCTTGTAATGATCAGGAGAAAGACATCTCACTCTATTCACTTCAGAACAGTGGGTGCAACTTTATAGGTTTTGGACAGGTGAAAAAGGAAACAGCATATAACAGATCAAGAAGCGATTTGTCAAGTATAACTTTTGAACTTTGACCTGATAGTAAGGGTTCCCATTTTGTTAACTTGTGCCCAGAGCCCCTCGGTATAGAATGACCAAGAGATTAATGCCTAGCCTAAAAAAAGAAAAAGTAAACCCAAGTAATTTTCTTTTTGGCCTTTCTGGTAATCTATTGTCTCTCTCTGTCTTTTGATGAGTCAGGCCTGGGTTCCTGGTACATGTGGCTGAAACTCATAGAGGGGGCAAGTAAAGACTGTAGGATTGCTTTCTGAGTCTACCATATGGTGTCCATTTTTTTGTTTTGGTTTGGTTTAGTTTTTGGTTTTTTTGCTTTATTTTATACTTTGTTTTACTTTAAATTTTCTTTATCTAAGTGGATAAGGATATTTCTGGGGTTTTTTCCTACAAAGACTTACCTGGTGTGACTGTACTGCTGAAAGCTCATCACACATTCTTACTGTGGTTCTTTTCTAGGAGCTTTTTGGTGCAGTCCAGGTGACTCCACTAAGCTCAGGCTATGCCCTTGGAAGCTCCAACTGGATTATCCAATCCCATTATGAGAAAGTATCATATGTTTCCGGATCCTCCTTACTTACCACACATCCCCAGGTAATTCTAAATCTCTTTTAACAACTCAGTTTTTTGGTTATTTAATCCAAATTCATAATATATCCAGAGTATCATCAGTTGTTTTTAAATCTTCCTAATTTTGGTTTCTACATGTATCCTTTTATTTTTTTTAATTTTTGTTGTTATGGTAAGAATGCTTAACATGAGATCCATCCTCTTAATTTTTGTACTATACCTTATTTTTGACTATAGGTACAGTGTTGTGTAGCAGATCTCTAGAGCTTATCTTGCTTAACTGAAACTTTATGTTCTGTAGATATTCTTCATAAAAGTTAGATTTTTCGTGTCCCAGTATTTAGGATTGCAAGTTCCTCTGTAAGATCCTGCTGTCTTTAGGTTCATCTCTAGGATTCTGAGATTTTCCACCACTTCCAATTACCATAGCCTGATATAGAACAGAAATGGTCACTCATTTACTCAGCAAATGTTAGTTATTTCTTTACTGAGGGTCTACTATGTATCAAGCACTGATCTAGGTGTTAGAAAATCAGTGGTGAGCCACAGGCAAAGTCCCAACTCATGATTCCGTGTTCAGAAGAGCAGAGAGTGCCATTGTGATTGCAGCATGCTGAGTATAGTCAGCAGGGGTGTCCATGAGATAAGCAGAGCCAGGTCACATGGAACTCTGTAGACCATGATGAGAAATTTGGATTTTATTTTACTTTACTTTTAAAGATTTACTTATTTTAGAGAGAGAGCACAAGCAGGAGGGGCAGAGGGAGAGGGAGAAAGAATCTCAAGCAGACTCCAAGCTGAGCACGGAGTTCGATCTCACAACCCTGAGCTCAGGGCTTGATCTTACAACCCAGAGATCACGACCAGAGCTGAAACCAAGAGTCAGATGCCCAACCAACTGCACCACCCAGGCACCCCTGGATTTTATTTTAATGTGTAGAGGGAAGCTATTGGAAGATTTTAAGTCTGTCATTCGTTAACAATCTTATTTGGCAAGTAGCTAAGTACATAACCATTGTTACAAATGTATTCTTTATTCCTTTTTAGGTATTATTGTTCATTTCATAAATCCTGATTCTTTCCATGTTTATAAAGGAGGGGCAGAGAAGATTAGATAGTTGGCTGTTGGATGGGTACAAACGTAGATAACTTGGGGAAGCCCATATCCTGTTTTAATATGAAGGGGAAAAAAATGACTGCTGTAGGTCTAGAACAATAAGATGCCTCTGAGCTACCGCTTTGTATTGGCTTTTTTCATACCTTCTTTTATAATTAGGTTTCATCTCAAGGTCTAGAGGGGACAAGTTGCTGTTTTTTCCTATAGCTAGCAGAATTCGGGGCCTTTCCCGCTTATTGAAATCAAAAGCCCATCAATGTCATCTTAATCTGCTTCATTGAATCAAAATACTTTATTGGCAGCTTCTATCATTCTTGATATATTCTTCCGTAAAAGACAGAAAGATTACTTGGCTGCCAACTCTTCCGATTTGTCCTGCTTAGATCAAAGCCTTTACCCTACTACTGATGCAATTTCCAGTAAATTATTCTTCCAAGGTTCATAAATTTAAAGGGAAAATAAGGTCTTGAAAGTAATGAGCAACATACCTAAGTAATTCATTTTAATTTCTAGCTGGCAACCAGTGTTGTATGTAGAAAAAAAAAAAATGAAGTAGATTTTCTTTTACCCAGATAATTAGATTCTATATTGAATTAGCAGGGATAAGAAAAGTTTGGGTTTGGAAAAACTTAATAGTCAGCTTCATAGGTCAGCAGACTATGGCCCATGGACCAAATTTGGCTTGCCACCTGTTTCTGTAAATAATATCTTATCGTGTATGGCTGCTTGCACACTATAACAGCAAAGTTCTGCTTTGGAGTTAAACTTTACAGAAAAGGCCAACCGCTGACCTACTTGAGTGGAACCCTCTGAGCTGGGAAGAATAGGCTGCTGTAGTGATCTAATAAGCTAAATAAGCAGAGGGGAGTGGGGAGTTGGATTAAGCCTGATGTGGTAAGAATGGAGTGACAGAGAAAACATTGGCAGTGTTTAAGTCAACAAATACTTATTGATTGCTTTCTCTCTTCAGGGAAGGAAAAATACAGATTTCATGCTTAGATGATACTGAGAATGGTGATGATGACACTAATCCAGTTGACAAGGAGGAGTTGGCAGAGGGGGTTCTGGTTTTAGGAGGGGGTAGTGGCTATGATGAATAGGAATTTGAGTGAACACTGGGGACAGATGAAAATATAGAACTGGAACTTGGATGTGAAGGCAAGCCTGGAGACAAATTGGAGGAGCATCAGATTTTTTGAAGTATGTAAAGAGCTGAAGGGGAAAAACTGAGCTGTGGGGAACATTTACCAATAGAAAGTGGAAGGAAGAAAAACGATCTTGAATAAGAATGGAGAGTTAGAGGAGAATTGAGGCTCATAAAAATACAGCATCCCAAATGGAAGGAGAGAGCTAACTTTTACTGAGCAGAATGTCTCAGTATTCATTTTTCTGATTGATATTCAACAGCATACTGAATTCTTATATTCTGATATTTATCGATTGATGGTAATATTATCTGCAAAGAAGTAACAGTTTTGTCACTTTTCTTCCAATCCTTTTATCTTTTCTTTCTTTTTTCCTGTCTTACAACTACATACTCTAGTCCCAGGAAGACAGAAGTGATGATAGTGGAAGCCTTGTCTATACTAGATTGTAAAGGGAATGCTTTGGTAGCTTCTTCATTAAATAGGATGGCTTACTCCTTGTTTTTAGCTATCAAGTTAGGAGTTTCTCCTCTGTTCCCAATTTTCTGATTTTTAAAAATCAAATGTAGATGTTGTACTTTATCAAATGCTTTTTCTGAGTCTGTGAGATGATCACATGATTTCTTTCCTTTAGACTAGTAATGTAGTGAATTATAATACTAGCTTTTCTTACATTTAACTGTCCTTGTAGTCTTGGGATAAGTCTTATTTGATCACAATTTATTCTTTTTAAAATACGCTCCTGGAATAAATTGGTCAGTGTGTCTCTGCATTACTGATTTTCTTCAAAGAATAAGTTTTTGCTTTTAATTGTTTTTGTTGTATTTTCATTCTCTATTCTGCCCTTTATTATTTCCTTCCTCCCATCTTTGGGTTTACTCTGTTGCTTTTCTTTTAATACTTAATCTCATTTGCTTCCATCCTTCTGTGCTTTTCAATAAATGTACTTAAAGCTATCAGTTTCTCTCAGTATCATTTAACTCTGTTAAATTGTTGATACGTAGTGCACTGTCATTCATCTCTACGTATATCATAATTTCCTTCATATGTTCATAATGTAAGTAGCCAAAGGTTGTTGTATAGTGCTTGTCTTTGTTTCTAGTCCATCCAATATGATTAGACTTAGGGTTAGATGAGAGACTTTTTTCAAGTCATACTTAAATGTTCCTGGATTTCTTTCTTTCTTTTTCTTTCTTTCTTTCTCTCTCTCTCTCTCTTGCATTTGGATAAGAGTATACTAATTCATTGAAGTGTTATTTTGAAACACAGTCTGAAAAAAAAAAAAGAAACAGTCTGTTTTTTAAGTGTTCTGTGTATGCTGGAAAAGACTGTATTCACTGTTGAATGAAAAATTTTCTATATGTATGTATTCATTTGAGTTTATTATGTTATTCTGGTCTTTCATATCTTTGCTTAGCTTCCAGTTTCTGAAAAGATGTGTTATTTGTTGATAAATTTCTCCCTATACTTCCACCGGTTATTGCTGCTTATATTTTTAAGCTGTATAATCAGAGGTATATATGTTCATGATCATTATGTTTTATCAGGATGCTGATTTCTTTTTTTCTCTATCAAAACTGCATTAAAAGCCAAGAGACATTTTCCCCCTTTGATATCTGCCTGGTATTCTTTTCCATTCCTTTTCATTCCTTCTGTATCCTTTTCTAGTGAATCTCTTGTAGACGACATAGAGATTTTTTTTTTTAAGATTTATTTACTTATTTTAGAGAGAACATTCACATGAGTGGGGGAAGAGAGAATTCTCAAGCAGACTCCCCGCTGAGTGTGGAACCTGATGTGGACTCAGTCCCACAGCGTCGAGATCATGACCTGACCCAAAACCAAGAGTCAGACACTCAACCACCTGAGCACCCAGGCCCCCTGATTCTTTTTTCTTTTTTAAAAATTTTATTTATTTATTTGAGAGAGAGAGAGCACAAGCACGAGCAGGGGGAAGAGCAGAGGGAGAAACAGACTCCCCATCGAGCAGGGAGCCCAACACAGGGCTTGATCCCAGGGCCCCATGACCTGAGCCAAAGGCAGACGCTCAACCGACTGAGCCACCCAGGTGCCCCAATGAAACTATTTATATTTCCTGTAATTATTATTGTATCAAGGGCTTATTTTTGCAACCTTCGTTCATGGTATTTTTAGTTTATTCTTTCCCCTGTCCTTTCTTCCCTTCTTTTAGACAGCTAAATTTCTTTCTATAAGTTTGAACACAATGTATTTGATTTTTATTCTTCTGGGTTGTTCCTTAGTTTATTTTTCCTTTGAGTATCCTGAACTTATCAGTATCTTTTTCTTTCCCTCCAGAGCCCCATTTCCTCTTGTCTCTGCCATCTTTTTCCTCTTCCTCCCCGCCCCCGCCCCACCACCTTCCCACCATGTTCATACTGTCTGGAATTTTAGTTCTGGGTTATTTAGAATATACATAGGGTACTGAATATATTGCTTATTTATAGATAACAGTGAACTGTATTGAGTTTTTTTTTTTTTCAACCTTACTTCCCATGTATCTCATAATCCTTTCTAGATTTACTTTCCTTTTTCCAGGAGTACTTGAGGAATGTTCACCAAGAGGGTCTTAAAATGGTAAACCTTATGAGACCTTGAAGTACTAGGAATATCTTTAATATTTCCTCACATTTAAATGATAGCTTGGATAGATAGAAAATTCAAGGAAAAGAACTTTGAAACTATAAAGTTTGGAAAGTATTTCTTCCTTTTCCACTTGTACCTTTGTTGCAACTGAAGAACTG